CTTGCTAGAGTGTTTTGATTTTTTCATATAAAGCTGTTGAAAGAATGAAACGAAGATATGAATGAAACGCATAATGTAATGTTTTGTAAGTGGGTTAATTCATAGTTGTACTTTACCGTATTTATTACAACATTCAGTGTCATTTGTCGAAAATCGCTTCTTAAGGTTGCGTGAACATGGAATATTACTCTGAAATAATCATCTGGTATCCACGTCATATCACTCCATTCATACATTTAGTTTTCTGCTAGTAAGGGAAGAGAAAAAGATGGCGAATATGAGCGATAGATCAAATTTGAAACTTTGATAATGTTTGACTGTTGTTGCTGAGGTAGATGTTTGTTTGGTTTGGGGTGGGAGACGCAGTGAATAGGGGACAGCTTCAATGAATAAACGTAAACATGCAGGCTGCTTGAATAAATAATGTGTTTTGTTCGGACGCAGCAGACACTGGGGTGAGTCGAGACAATGGTTCATGCAGCTGTTTGCATGTTGAAAAGTCGGATAGCGATTGTGAATGGAGCTGATGGTTCGGAGAGTAGCGGTGGTAACCCAGTTTTTGATTATGTGCTTTAGAGTGTATGTTTTTAAATGGTACTATTCTTAATTAATACCTGTGTCTAAAAGTTGTTCAGAATTTGTTAATATTCCCTTTTTTTAAATTATGATTGCTTTCAGTGCACTTTCGTTCATTGTCTCTATGAGTATGATCATTACAAGCAATTAATGCATGCCTTCATTAATGACCTGCTGCTATTGCGGTTTGCGTGTAGTGTTGAGCAAGTATTCGTTGCTTAAAAGCAACTGATGATCAAGTAGAAACAAATAAATGAGCGAGTTGATCGATTGATAATTGGATTGATCGATGGTGATGGTGTTAGTGATGTGATCAGTGGCGGTAATGTGATCAATCAGTGCAATTCAGCAAAGATGATCCTCTAGCACAGCCCCTACACCAGCCGTCCTTTAACTAATTACTCTTCAACCAACAACCAACCTATCATCACATCAACAGCAGCAACCAACCGCCCGCCGTTCCATTCGAACATTCGAAGAGCAGTAATAACTTTCATCTGCGCTATCACTTGTCTGTCCTGCATTCGTCCGTCCGTCCGTCTAACTGAGCTTTTCATTCCACATTTCATCGTTCCAATTTACAACTCTATATACACATGGGTAAAAATGCAGGAAGCAGTTATTAAATTATTCACTTTTTATACACATATGAATGTAGCTTGATTTGATGATTGATCTATGCAGCGCGTTCATTCGTATGTTTCTTTCGTCAAAAGATGTTATCGTTAAGATTTCTTATTTGATTCTGTGTTTTATTTGATTCTGTACCTACATTCACATTTTTGTATGCATATTCTTTTTATTATTGTTATATGGCGATGTGTGCGTGTCCGCGTTTTTGGTCTCGTTGCTTACTGCAACACACACGCACACGTATGAGTGTGTTGCAGTAAGAGTTATTCTAAAATTAATAGTAGTTGTAAGAAGTAATAATAATAGTAACTGATTAACGTCACCAGCTGCTTTATGCAGTGATCATTTGAAAAGATGAATATCTACTCAGTAGTTGCTTACCATTAAGCTCGTACAGTTTGTTGGTTGCTAAGCATGGATGCATTATTGATACGCATTAACTAAATGGTATAATGATATTTGTGGTTGTTTTGATGTTTTATGCAACACTCAGTGATATCACACACGATGCTTTTATCGTGTATGCATGCCTTTATTCGTCGGATCGGATCGTTTACTGTTCGTTACTTAAAAACTGCCGTTATTTTTCTAGTTAGCGGTTTTTTAGTGAAAAAACTTTTTTATCAGCAGCACTATTAGCGGATCATTTTTAGCGAAACAGAAATATTTGTTTTGGCGAACTAACGAGCGATTAACGGAGCTACTTTTTTTTTTTCAGTACCCGTCACTGCATTTATTTTATTCGGTTCTGTACAAATTTCAGCTCGTGTTTCTATTGGAAATGTTTCTCATTTTTATATTCATTCGACTAATCGTTTATTTCAAATAAATTTCCACTGATTGTAAAAAACTGATTGGAAAGTACTTCGTCTTTTCAGTCTCATAACGTTTCGATCGATATTGCATCTATTATCATTATGATAATACGTTTTTAGATCTTCATTCATTCCGTTTATTCAGTCTCATCGTATCGATTCGTGCTCATAAATGAAGATAATAACAACGAGTAGTATCGTTGTTAGACTGAGTGGTTAATGCCCGGTTTGGCAGTAAACGAGTGAATATTTTGTCTAGTAGAACAAATAGCCCACGTATTTCCTGTTTCGAAATACTTCAGTGCAGAATGTTATAATTTCATGGGCACAGTTGTTCGATTCATCATGTACATTGATGCTTGTAAGGAGAATTCGAGTCATTTTTGAATGCTTCTTTTGGGTGTGCGAAAAACGATTAAACTCTACTGTTGAAAAGGGTTTAAGCTCACGTCTATGCTTCTGACGTTTAGGGTTAGGGCTCGCAATGAGGCTTAGCCCTATGCTTACATGTACTTGTAAGTAGCGCATCAAAATTTTGAACACTGCTTCAATTAAAACTCTCAACACTTTCCAGGAGGTCTATTGAAGCATCGAGTCTAACATTTTGTGTTATTATGATGGTGCAAACTGTGAGAGAAAATTTTTTTATTTTCTGAAAAAGAATTAAAAAATTTTTTGTTTGTACAAAATGAAGCGAAAATATTTTCATAATTCAGCAAAAGGGCATTCAACTGATATCATCGTATTGAATTGCGTTGCACTAAGCTAAAATAAAACAATTCATTTAGGGGTTAATCGTGTTATTTCAATTTTTCATTCGCCAACTGACAAAGCGTCAGCTTATTGATGTTCAATCGTTTTACACTTTTATTTCGTGACTGATTATTTTAGCTGTTGTAAATCATAATTATCAGTTATTATTACTATTGTTGACATTGATACAACATTCGCTTTTTCGAGCAAAACTTTTGCGGGACCTGAACCCGCGACATATTAATGCCCGCTTTATTCAAAACATTCAGTCTCCACCACATGGTTGTGTTGAGTTTTGCAATCAGCTCTTCAGCGCACACAATGCACTACTGATCTGATGGGCGTATAAAGCTACAGTCGGGACGAATTGCGATCAAAATCATCCAAATATAAAATCAGCTACATGCCAAATCATTATCTGGCTTAAACTCTATAAAATCACTGACACTGATACACCATTCGATTTCGGGCGAAACTTTCGTTTGAAAGCGAACGGTTTATCAGTATCGTCGATATTATCGAGCCTCAGGCAGACAATAATTCGGTCTGTACCTAATTATCTATTATTATTGAGATCGCATATGCATATAAATATAGCAAAGTTTTGCGTGTATATTGCCTTAACTGATTCAGTTTTTCATTATTTCTTTCCTATATAGGTAGATAAGTGATGATATAATACTCTCATGGAACTATCTTCGATGTGACCGTGCAGTTGTCTCATACCAGCTGCCGCTGATCCTAACTTAGCGACCTTCAATGATGATGGTCTTCAGCTTTTAATTAGTTTCATATATCTCGTGATCGATGCACTACAGCTCGTTATCAGTCGTTTATTTCAATTCTTGTGCTTGACGCCTTGGTGCGATTGTGCCTTCGATGTTCCTATCAATAATGGGCGATTCTCAGCTAATATTATTGTTCTTTAGATTATCATATTCCAGCACTACCTATTGCTGCCGCTCATAACTGTATTGCATCACTAATATGAAACAAAATTAACTTATAGCCCATCTCAAGATGTCCTACTTTAGAATGTCGCTATTAATAATTACTGCAATTGTCACAAATAAAATGAGATGCTTTGTAAAGCAAGTAAAAGTTACAAGTATGATACGTATTACTAACTAGAGAATTGCAAGCGAAAATATACCGTGAGCATGGTTTACTCGAAAGTAAATTTGGCCACAATCTTAGTTCAGTAAGTCGAGAGAGAAATGAGTCGTTGAAAAATGTACCACTAATCCAAGCGGTTCGGTAGGGTTTTCTAAGCCACATTAGGCCCACTAAATTCCATGTAAATTCATCTATCATGCAGGCAGTTATCGTTGGAATGAAAAATGCAAGAAAGCGACTCACGATTTTATTTGTGCTGGATTAGGAGTGGCATAATGCGTGTGAATTAATCATATTGCGTGACTTATCATTGCTGTTGATAATAAGATAAATAACTTCTGTTATAATTGATATAATGGGAGATTTTTCAGTGTGCTAGATCAGATTGGAACAAGGGACCGATAGGCTGACGGTCAACTAATATATATGTGTATGTTTGTTCAAGTGGAATATTGCTAATATCATTGTTATTTCTGGCGATAAGGGCACTGATAAGATCATCAGCTCGTCACTGTGTTATCATTCACCTACAAACCACGACTACATTCATTATATATCGAAGACTGATCAACACTGAACTGTTGAAAATAAGCATTTTAGCTTTGAAAGACAAGGACGACGCACACCTAGAAAGATCGTTTTTGTGTTGAACTGTGACCAGAAAGCAAAAAAAGAAAAGAACACATCCAGTTACTGCACAAGCTCACCTATCCGTCCATTCGTGCTCAACAAGCATTATCACCAATCCTCATTATATGTTCCCTTCACGAACTCTCGACACTCTACCGTTCAACAGACAACCGTCGATTGTTCATCGTGTGAACAACCATTCATATTCATTCAACAACTGCACTTCAACTCAACCAATTTCTATCGAACACATTTCTGTGTGCATCGATTGTGTTCAATGATTGAAGTGATCCGTCATACGTCTGGTTATTCTGGATCTCCACATCAGCATCCACAACCGCAGCACCATCACCCACCATTGTCGCAACCGGATCAACTCTCCGTCAAAACTGATCCTGCTAGTCTTTTTATGGACACATCCACGAGTGGCTCAACGCTCTTCCAACATGCCGCTGCCGCAGCTGCGCTTTACACGCCAACTCTTACAAGTAGTACAGAAACATCATCGGTTAACGATACAGCAACTAACAACAACAATGATCATAAGTTGTCAACTAGTTCATCGACGACTCTTCTAACGAATTCAATGGATATGATCATGGCGGCGGCAGCTGCGGATGCACTACGACAACTGCCATCCACATCGAATGAGAGTGATGCGGTTGCTGAACATGATGCTAGTATCAAGATGAAACGATCGACCAAGAAGGACAAGCCTGGAAGTTAGTTGTTTTTGTTGATCATTTTTACGAATCGGGGTCGAAGTGATGCGCTAGTACAAACTTTTTTTCAATGGCAATAAATCGTTTCGGTTGCGGTGCTTAAATTTGATTCTCCTCTTATCATCATCGTTTTCATCTTCATTCGTTTCTTTGACGATTAAGATTTCCATAAATTTGTTTTTCTTTTTCTTTATTATTGTTCTGTATTGCTAACAATTAGCACATTCATAACACAAATAATATTGCTATAATTATTCCAGTTACTTCCATTATTGGTATTATTATTATCACTGATTGTTGTTATTATTACTACTAACCGCTATTATTATCATTATTATTACTAATTGCTATTTATTATTATGCTGTAGTTATTATCAGAGATAGGCACTAGTGCGCTGATCCGCTACTAGCGGGTCAGCGAGTAAACATTTTATTGCCAGTGGATCAGCGTAAGCGGCGCTGATGTTTTTTCGCCATCATTGATTATTATTGTTATCATTATTATTACTATTATCATAACTGAAGTCTGAACTATGAAAAGTTGCTTGAAAGAATGAAAAGTAAGAAGAAAGAATTAATGAATGAAAAGAACAGATACAATGACTTGTTTGGTGTAATTGTTCAACTTTGCACTTAAAAATGCACGTGAATAATGTGTTCATGAACAATACTATGAAGGCTGCAGCAACAAAGGCAAATTATAGATAAGCATCGAGTGATAGATATTGTTCCTTGTGATCTGTTTTGATTGCACTGAAACAAGTGTGAAGAGTGGAATGCCAGTTAAAACGTGAGGGACAGGGCATTTGTGCCAAATAATCTTTTATTGAATCGTTTGCCATAACACCGAGAGCAAACGTTTGTTGAGAATTGCGTGCACGATGTTGTTGGGTGCATGATGTTGGATGGAGGAGGTGAAAGGCAACAGCATCGGCGGAGAAGAGAATTACGAATAAAGATAGATTGGAGGAAGATGGCTTGCTTCAAGGATGAATATGGTTTGGATTGAAAGAAGACTAGAAAAGGACAGAAGAGAAGAAGAGGAAGAATGCTGGATGGTTATTTAAAGTGCAGCAATGGGTGAGTGGATGGGGAGACTATGCTAAGAGTGACGTTTGCTAGGGTTCATTTGTCTAGTTGATTCGTTCCGTTTTATCGTTCACTTGGTCGGATATACTCGATGCAATGCAATAACGCTGCCTACAATCAGTGAACAGCTATTTGCAATTGTGTTGTTCTCTTGCATTCGACCAAGTGGTGGTTTGCTTGAAATAGCAGAAATTTTTGAAGGGACGACAATAAACTGACATAATAGCAACAATCAGCTAGCTTGCTAGTTGATCGAAGAGTGACTGAAGGAGGGATGAGACAACGTGAATGCATATATGGATAGTGGTAAAATAGCGAACGAAAAGGTCTACAGAGTACTTACGAGAGTCATTGTTGGAGATTTTGCGTTGACACAACGATGAAAGATATAGATTGTGCATTGATTGGAACGAGGTTGGTGCTAATTCCAATCCGTATAGAATAGAAAGTAAGAGTTAAAAAAACAAGGGGAGGTTCAATGAATGTTAGGAGGAAGAAGTAGACAGATATATTTTGAAGTGCTCGATGGATGCACGGATGATGGATGCAGTGACGAATTACTGCTGCTGCAGCAGCAGAGTCGAATGAATGATTGCGTTGTCGCCGCAGCACAGCATCATATTTGCCATGTTCACGAGCGATTGCAGACAGCAGCGGTTGTGCTAGTGGCCGCTGAACGCCTCTATTGTTTATAATTTCATTGCTCATGTACTGTATTAATTCATGATCTATGTCGTCTGTCGATCTTCATCATATCGACTTATTTTCACTTTTTAAATCCTCATTATGTCTCTAATTCGTCGCAATTTTGCATCCCTGTCTTCGTTCCAATTAAGATACATCTTGATGCAACGAGGCAAGACAAAAAACAATCAGTTTCGAACATAATGGCGATGCAATCAATTAATTTGACTGTTGATTTGATGCGGTAAACTTTTCGATTTGTTCTCGATCTGTTTTCTAGGCTTTTGCTTTCTTATTAGTAATATCCCTTAATGCAGAAATTTCCGTCTAAATCCATTCAACGTCAAACTCTTCCCACTTGTTACTTGTCGTGCCACGGTTGAGTTTGTGGCGAAGCGACCGTTGCTTCTCCGTTCAGCATTAATGTAAACAAATATCATCCATCGTTTTTGCGTTTATCAACGAATCCATCCATTCCTCAAACTAACTATCGTTGTTTTGTTCGTTATATTTGTTTTCGATTGGTTCGCGGCTAAAGTAAAGCAGTCGCGCCGATAGCAAATCAGTTGCGATTCTCTTCTATTGGTTACAGCAGGCGTGCTCATAAACGATCGTTTTTTTGATAGCTACCTCAAGTCAAAGCGTTATCAATCAGTCAGTCAGTGCAACATCAACTGAATACACACAGATCATCAGCGTAGTCTAGTGCTGTTCAGCCAAACATAGTTAAGCGGCATCTAACGGCCGCTGAACTCAACAGAGAGCTGATAAAACACAAGATCCATTCGTTCATCTTCATCAATAAGAAGACGTCATCAAACAGTCGATTACGAATCGACTCAGCCAAATCAGTCGAAGAACATCAAACTGTCGATCAGTCGCAATTAGTACTTCAAGCAGCAATAAACCATTAAACTGGCTTCTCCATACGAATTTCTTTCGTTGTTGTCTTCAGATTTGAACGACTTACTATATTCACTAATCTGGTCATTGCTCCTCTTATTACTCTTAATATCGGTATTATTGAGTCTAATCGTCACACTATTATTCATAGTACTGCCTGTTTTAATTAGTTTGTTATTACTCCTGTCGCATCTTTTATTTATATTGCAACAACAGTATTTCGTTATTGGAAATCACCAGCATTATTATCAATCGTTTTTGCTTAGCATTCATGATCTGTTAATTGGTTATTGGCCTACGGCAGTTTTGCCACTTCCATTTGGAACTGTACCAGTCCCACAACAACAACAAACAGCTGAATCTCAATCCTAATATAAAATATTGATTTGATTAAAGCAGTGTAATTGCTTGATGAATGCAATGTACCGCGTTGTCTGGTTATGGCTGCCACTTTGGTGTATCAGTTTTAAAATCATTGCGATAATATCCAATTTGACAAGGACATTGCTTTGTCTTGCTTATTTTATTCATTCGTATATCTATCCACCTATTTATCAATCAATTTCATCTCAATAATTCTTTCCAATGATTGTCTATAAGCAAAAAATGCCTCATAATCGTAAGTGTTTCATCTTTATCACGTATTTGGTTTCTTCTACTGCTTCGCTCATTTTGCATATAAATCCACAAGTTTTGGTCCTAGCTTGGCCCAAGCCTCTTTGTAATATTCTCCTTTCTTGACTTCTTTTTCTTGTTGGTGATGATGATGACGATGGTAAGAGTTGTTTGTTATCCAGTTCGTCCCTTCGAATATATCATTGATAAATCACCACAAGAAACTCTTCTGAGCAATGCCAAGACAATTCAGATGATATTTTCCATCATGATGCTGCTATGAAATAATTCAAATCGCAATAAAAAATGTTCATTTAGGGCGAGAAAAGATCCCAGAAGGTACATTATGCGTTGTATGCTCGGATTTAGCCAGTGGTATACACTATTCGGTGGCCAGTTGTAATGGTTGTAAGACGTTTTTTCGGCGAGCATTGGTTGTAAGTGTGCATATCATTTATTTGTTATTGTTTATGAACATCACCAGCAATACTAGCATTATCGTTCTGGCTTACATGATGTATCCGTTTCGCAACTAAATGAATAATTTTTCTCGAGAATTTCATCTCTCTGATTGCAAGGAAAAAACACAATGAGAAAAGTTTTTTGAACGTTTTTCAGTTTTGATCAAATTCATTGTTAGTGTTTGAGTAAATAACTATAAAATTCAATGCAAATTTCTTCGCATCTGCAAACAGGAGAGAATGAGATGGAGTGTAGGATTAAGTTGAGTTTCATTGTTGTTTGTAAATGAAATGAGATATAAAATATTTATATATTTTGTTCAATTTATTCTGTGACGTTGCTTTGCATTGCATCTTTTTTTTTTGGAAGAGAAGCAAACAGATAAATAAGTAAATAAGAATTTCACTCGTTGATAAGTGAATAGATAAGAGAAGAAGCTGTATTGATTGATGGACGGATTTTTCATGCTGTTGTTGACGATTAGGTGGATGGTTGGATGGATGGAATTATTTGTTGTTCTAGTGGTTTGGTAATAGTGATGAAAAGATTTTTTTGAAAAAATTTATTAAAATATTTCTCTTCTACTCATTTTTTGCTGATCTCTAAATCACATTTTAAAATTTATTATCGAGTAATAGTTTTCAATGTTCATTATCAAATAATTCGTTTCGTTTACAGAATAAACAAGAATTCCAATGCCAATTTTCTAACGATTGTATCGTTGACAAATGTACGTTTTTACTTTTCAATATTCATTATTACTGTTTATTATTTCAAGTAGTGATGTTCATATGCATTGTTGTAATATGTATTATTGTGTTCTTGTAATCTGAAGGATTTTTTTGTAGCAGTTCGATGTGGTTGTCGTAGTTGTCGTTTGAACAAATGTTTTCAAATGGGAATGAATCCGAACGGTTGGTTTTGTTCATAAGTTGTTTATGGTTGATGTTGATTCTTTTGTTAATACTTTTGTTATTATCTTAAAATTTAAGCGATTCAACACGATCGCGATAAGATTAGATATACGAAACGTGCGAAAAAGATCAAAGAGGAGAATGCGATGGACATTTCGGATATCGCAAGTGGCAAATGTGGTTTCCTAAAGGAGGAGGCCGCGGACAGTCCACAAAGCAATCAGTTAGTTACACCCTTTCTTCTGTTATTATTATTATTATTATTATTATTATTGTTGTTGTTGTTGTTCCAGTTGTTATTGTGAACTGTTATTGCAGTTGTATTAATTAAGGGTCTGTTTGTTATTTGTTGAATTTCAAGTTGAAAAATTCAATTGCTTTAAGAACAGCTGATGAACAAGCGAATTTATCAAGTCCTTCGTCGAGTTTTGCTGGCTATGGTCCTGGTAGCAATGCACCATCATTTGATCATGAAATTCATGATATTCAAGTCAGTTTTTGCAGTGATTTAATTCAATTTCAGCACTTAAATATAGCTGATTCATTGCAGTTATTGTTTGTGTGTTCAGTGCTTTTTAAATAACTTGGGAAATGCACGTACAGTTATGTGAAGAAGAAGACTTTCACTGAAATTTTATACTGCTACTGTTCAGCTTCGGCCATTTTTTTCGTTCATTCATTTTCACTTCCCTGAGCGAATGTTATCGACTACTAGCTGAACAAAAAATTCTTTTTGAAGGCTGAAATGTCAGCAGTTTTAACGGATCTGTTAATATTGGAACGTAAGATCAATGACGTTCGTTGTGCCAATCGATTTCCGCCGCACACTTCTGTAGCATCGTGTATGTACGATCGACGGCTTCTCGACGATGATGCGTGGGTTTCCACTTATTCAACGCCTCTGGTTTGTTTTTTTTTTGTTTTCTTGTTGTGTTGTATAATTGAAATTTCGTATTTGCTCAGTTGTTAGTTTGTTCAATTCAACTTAATTCGTTCAATGATTTGTTCAATTCAATTCAAAAAATATTCAGCTTGTTCAATACTTAAAACATTGTTCGCATATTTGCAGTCTCCTATGTTCAATGCAATTCCTTGCGATCGAGGTAGTATGCGTGCATGGTTTGTGAAAGATTTAACATTAATGATTGAATGGGCTAAGTGTTTACCGCAAATGCGACAACTTCTTCTCAATGATAAGGTCAGTTTTCAATATGTCTCTCTTCACAACTATTTTGTTTGCTCATTTTCAGTTAGCATTAATCAAGGCGTTCGCTCCAGTGTTTCCACTTATACAATTGGCATATTTTTCTTGTACGCATGAAAGTCGTCGTCGTTCAACAACACAGAGTCCTGTCGATGAATCCTTCGGCTCCCCCACTGCTGTTGGCTCAAGTGCAGCTCGTAAGTTTTTTTTTCACATTTCTCCATAAACGTTCATTAATTTAATATATACACCAACTTTTTACTTTAATCATTGCATGCATATATTTGTTTTGTGTGTTTTATAACAAGAAAATATTCGTATATCGTTGTGATGGTGAGTAGATTTGGTCATATGTGCATGCACACACTCTCAAATATACGCTAACATTTAAAAAATCAGTTTATGAATTCCAAATTGTTAAGGTTTGTCAATTGATTCGAATAATAGCGGTAGTGTTGCGACGGCTGCAGCAGCAAATGCCGAATTGGCGTTTATGGCACGAACGGTTGATAGAACGCCAACATTGGATCGACTATGGTATCCAGATGGTCGATACTTGGAACGGGAGGATTTAGATTCATCACCGACAGCAAACGGTGGCAAGAAAGAATTACCAATCAACGCACTGCTTATCGACGGCGTATGTCATCAAATGCTTAGGCTACGACTCTCCGAAAGTCACGTTGTTTTATATAAATTGATGCTTTTCTTCAATCCAGGTTAATACTTCATTATTCGCTGTTGTTTTATGCATAGTCCAGTTTTGATGTCTTCGTAGCGAGATAGATTTTGCTTTGTTTCCTTTTTGCCATTGAAATTTTGTGTGAGTTTTGACTAAATCGTTGCTTATTCCGTTTTGTATTGTGCACCGAATCATTCAAACATTAATTTCTAGATGCGGATGGCCTTTCATCGACAGGTAAATCGACAATCGAGAGTGAACGGGTCAAATTACTCAATTATTTATACGTACAAATTATTCAGGATCGTGCCGGCAAGCAGGGCACCGAACTGTATTCGAATATGCTCCTAATGACTACTACTCTCATTGTACATTCGTTAGATCTTTCATTTTTTATCGTTCATCATTTGATTGCATTTGCATTGTAATTATAAAGCTTATACTCGTTCAAATCGTCAGTTTAAATAATTTCTCATTTACAGCGATGTCGCGATGAAATAGTTGTTGTTTTTTCAGCGAGTGGCTTCATTTTTGAAACGGACCTTTGACATATCGCATATTTTTGGTCCGGCTGATGATCTTATTGATCAACTGATTATTGTTGGACTTTGATTAATATCAGTGTCACCGAAACAACAATAACATTCGTATCGAATTAACAGTCGACGAGACTGATGGTTGAATGGGTCTAACTGAAGTAGTATGCTGGTTCGTGTTCACGACGGCTATGCATCCAGTCGTTCAGCTGAACACATGATATTTCATCAGAACTGGATTGAAAAAGTTCGCAACACGATCAGTCATTCGCGTTTTCCTTCATCCAACGAGAGTACAAACTTCAGCCGCAACTGCACACCACTTCACCGTTCTTCTATCAGTTCAAACATTCGACATTTATCGTCGTCACGTTGTATATAGATGCAATATTGTGGTTCTTACAACATTTCAGCTGATTATTCATTAGTGATTTGTGTGTATGTTTGTATACAATTGTGAACACGATTGAAACATGATGCGTGTATATGGAATGTCTATGATTATCACCGCTACCCATTCACCTCAGTCTTTTTCTCAGTCTCATTCATCAAATGTCGATATCCATCTATCTAATCATCTCTTTCTACCTTATTACCTTCCACTCATCCATCCGAAACAACCACTCGGTTGGTGCACAATTATCAGCAGTTTCAAATCTTCCGGTTGTTTTGCTTTGTCTCGTTTCACCGTCTTCTACCACAATAACAACAAGATATGATTCGTCGCTGATGATATCATGTCGCTTTCTCAGGATACTTCATCAGAATACTCCTAGAGGTAGATATTCTATTGTTGGCATTGTCTTATCTCACTGTAATTTGATTTTGTGCTAAATTTTATTGCGATTTTAGTAATACGAGTATTGATAATAAAAATGATAATAATACTAATAATGATGGGTTATTATATGCCGTTGCTGTTTCGTTGTTACTGTTGACGTTGTAATAGGTAGATCGTTCGTTGATTATTGATAGTTTTTATTAACTTTCACTATTTGCTGCTGTCTGATTGCCCATCATTAAAATCAATCGTCCAAGTAAGTGAGTCTGTGTCTATTCACGAAAGCGAGCAGTAATTCATTTCAGTAGTTTATCTGTCATCGGCTAGTGAGTGTTATCGTTATTCTAGTAGTGTAGGTAGCGGTAGAAGATATCGTAGAATTAGTGGCATTGGTAGAGGTGCTCTGCTAGGGGCGTATTCAGTTCGTTTCCCAGTTTCATAGTCAAAATTTTGCATCTTATGCGGCTTCGATTTTTGGCCGTCATGGGTATTTTGTTTTATCTTGGTATTGCGATGTTTTGCTCAAGAAAAGTTTTATTATTGTTATCTTTTAATAATATGATCGATTGAACACGTAATTGGGTTTTTTTTTGCAGCATTTCATTTATTTGGATCCATTTCCTAATTGATAATTATTGAAGCGCTTATGCCCAATACAGAGTGCTCAAATTCTGTTGAGTAACAGTTTGTTTGCTTTTCATTCTCGGTGAGGTCCAAAAAAATAATCGTGAAATTGACTTTTCGATGACGATTAATTGTCGGACCATCTACGGTAACGGTCGACCGGTGACTGTCCTCTTTTGTCTCTTTCGTTTTGCCAAAATTGGTTCTCCGAATTTGTTACTTTTTTATTTTGTTAAAAATGATTTTTTTAAAATAAGATCGCTGAGTTATTTCTGACATGCAAAATCATTTCGATCCCTGCTATTCTCTGTAAACTTCATCTGCTGAATACCATTCTCTCGAATTTGACTCATCTATCTGTAATCTAATCTTAATTTTGAGTTAGGCACTTCTACAGCTAGTACTTTTTACTGTGGGTGGTGATCAATCATTTTGAAAGTTCTTCCACATTCAGTGATTTTATTTCGCTTGAGTGGATGGATAACTGGAGTCATTTATATAATTAAGAAGAATACATATGTATATATATATAGTGAAGACTACATGCATATGTTATCCATTAGGAGTGCTTCAGTGATGATGTTGTTTATTAGATTGATTGTTTGAAAATATTCATTATTTTGGTTGTGACTGTTTCATTGTATTGAGTGAACAAAAAAAAGTGTAATGAACCATTAATGGATTGTTTTGATATCGCATGCAAATACCTTTCAACAATGTACGGTTTAGTCTCGACTAATGAAGTGAGCAACTTAAATTCGGATTGATGTGATTAATCACTCCCCATTTTAATTGCTTTTCATTTGTGTATATTATTTGTAAATACATAATAAATCGAAACGGATAATTTATTTATATACACGTTGTCACTGCAGTTGTTTATAATTTGTTCGTGAATTTTTATGGTTGATTCCTTGCTACGATAAAAAGCCTCTCCTTGACAAAAAGGTACGCAAGCGATTGACTGTTTATTTCTGCGAGGTGTTCGTCTTCGTTGTTGACCGTAAATGTGAACGTATCTATTTCATCGTGTATTTTTTAAGTCATCTTTTTTTAATGAGATAAAACGAAATATATTGTGGGAATTTCTGTTATAATGTTATTATTAGCATTAGTGTGTTATCACCATCTTCGTTATTATTATTATTATAATACTCTTGTGAAGAAAATTAGCGTATTATTATTATCATTATTATGATAATTGTAATATATATGCATTGTGGTAGGGTGGGAATAAGGCTTGTTGTTATTGTTGTTCTTGAAAGGTTTGGTAATTGTTTGTTTTTTGGTTGGTTGTTAATTTTCCAATTTTTTCCCTTGATGGACTCGTCCTGTTTTCCCATTGATAACTACTTCTGCGCGCTTCGACTGTTTGGTTGATGAGCGAACCCGAAAACGTGTCATATTGCATTATTTTGTGATTATTGTTTTTTTGTTATAATTTTATAAAATTTACATTACTTTCAAGGAAAGATTATAAGTATATCACTGTTGCTATTATTCATTATCGTCATCATTACTATTCTCTTTATTGCTACACTCCAACTGTTAAATTATTGCAGTTGTCTTATTATGAATATCGTTGTTATTGTTGTTTTTTTGAGAAATTATTTTATTAATATCCTCCAATCGTTGTTATTATCATCTTTGTGTAACGGTCAAATTTGTCTGCTTCTCGCCATCTTGCTGGTTTCTTTTCATTGCGTTTTTTTGTTGTTGTTTTTGTGTTTTCGTTCATCAACTTTTCTTTATAATTCAGTTTGATTGATATGATTTCCCTCTTTTACTCATGTTGTTTTGTTTCTTTTTTTCAACCCTTTTTCAAATTTCTACCTCTTATGCTGGGAAATAGATTTTTTTCGTTGAAAAAATCAAGTCACCTTGTATGTTGCTGTTGTTGCTCTTATGTGGTGGAATCTGAATGATCACATCATACGTTTGTATATGCAGAAGCAACAAAACACAAAGTGGATATGCTGAGAAGACAGTGGTGACGTAAAGGTGGTTTTTTTATTGTCGTAATAGGAACGGAATCAGAGTGTTTAATTACGCTCACTTTTGAAAATGAAACCGTTGTGCTTTTCTTAATCGTGGAAAAGAAGCGTTGTTGAAGTGGAATCTACTTTGCGAAGGAGTGTTCTCATTACAGCTGTTCAATGAGCCATTGAATTTGTACACTGTTCTCGCAGTTTATTGCACTGACTTGAGTAATGCATGCAGTTCACGAAAATTCTTAAGGTTAACACATACGATGAGTGAGGACGTCGCGGTGAAAGTTGTGTGCTTGCTTAAATTTGATTGAACGTCGATGTTGGAGACCTCTAATTTGATCACTTCTTGAGATCCCAAGCTGCGCTTCTGATGTGTTGTATATGATTTTCTGCATAGAAAAATTTGTGTGTAATAATAAATTTTTATTGAATTTGTGTTAAGTAGTCGTTTGACTCATCACGAACTGTTTAATTTATTGAGTTGATAGTAGATTGAATACGTCAATGGCTAATAGTAGATTAAATGCTAGCTGAAAGCTGGTTCCGATGGATGTTTCAGTTCTCTACAAAACTTCTACATAATACTCATTATAGGTAATCCGCTGTGACACATGCATTGTTTCATTATTTATTGAGCACCAACCTTACAGCGTTCATTGCAATCAAGAGGAGCCTCAACCTTGTATTCATTAATACTGAATTCAAGAACGCAGTGTTGCAATGAATTCGGTCGAATGTCGTCAAAAAATCAGAACAAAACCAGCGACAATAGTACCCACGTTTGACTATAGCACTTAAAATAGTCAGGCATAATACTAGAACTGAACTACGATATGGGCGAACAATAAGCTGGTTGCCCGAATAATATTATTTTTGACGAAATGGACGTGAGATGTGACCGAGGAAGTAAATTGATTGGTGATAAGAATCTCTTGAGAATAATGCGTTCATGTTCGAGTTAGTATAAAACTGTTCAGAAGAAACTTTTACAGAATATACATCCTCCGTTCATCGTTTATTCCAATCATTTCGGTTATACAAGGATTCATTATTCGATCACAAAAACATGGCGTCTGTATGTGAAGAACCGGACCTGAATATCGCTGAAGACGAGTTTTTGCGTAACCACTATAGATATTATACATCACTATAGAAATATAGCTTTGATGTATTCAAGCCTACCGTGTTCTCAGGTTTGCCCAGTAACATATAGATGTTTATACACCATTCCATCGAACAGAATCTCCGCATTCTGAAAATCAAAAATTCGCCGAGAAATTCTGCCTCTATGAGGAGATATAGCTATTTTTCTGATGCTATAGGGGTTATCACATTCAAGTCTACCGTACTCTCAGCTTTGGCCAGTAAAATATTGATATTTATATACCATTCGATCGAGCGGAATCTCAGGATTCAGAAAAAAATATATTCTGTCGGGCGATTTTGCTTAGTTGAAGAGATATAGCTATTTTATTAAATAAATCTCAAATAGCGCAATGGTGCTCATTGATGTGCATTGTATCACTATAGATCAATAGATATTATACATTATTATAGGAATACAGATATGATATATTCAAGCCTACCGTGTTCTCAAGTTTACTCAGTAACATATTAATGTTTATGCACCATTCCATCGAGCAGGATCTCCGCATTCTGAAAATCAAAACTTCGCCGAGAAATTCTGCCCCTATGAGGAGATATAGCTGTTTTTCTGATGCTATAGGGGTTACCACATTCAAGCGTACCGTACTCTCAGCTCAGTAATGTATTGATTGATCTGTAGTGATCAATATACAATATATCAATGAGAGTCAATACGCTGGTCGTCAATATGTCACTGGGCGAAGCTGGGCAAAATGTATGTTTTTCTGAATCTGGAGATTCCGCTGGATCGAATGATGTAAAAGAATTCATATGTTATCGGGCAAACTTGAGGGGACGGTAGGCTCGATGATGGCAAACCGTATAGCTTTTAGAAAATAGCTATATCTCTTCATCTAATCATAATTTCTCGGCAAAGTTTATGATATTCTTAAATAACAGATTCTGAACAATCGAATGGTGCAAAGAAATTTATATGCTACTTGGCAAACCTGAAAGTACTGGTACCCTGAAATCGTAACACCTATAGCGATAGAGTAATGTACATATTTATTCAAAGTGGTCAGAAATATATGAACGGTGAGAATACGGTGGGCTCGAAGATGGCAACCCGTATAGAATAAAGAAAATAGCTATATCTCCTCATATAATCCTAATTTCTCGGCAAAATATATAATATTCTGAAAGTAGAGATTCTGAGCAATCGAATATTGCAATGAAATTCATATATTACCGGGCAAACCTGAGAGTACGGTCACCTTGAAGATGGTAACCTCGATAGAGCCGTAGTAACATATTGATATTGATTTTTAGTGATACAATAATGCGCTTCTTGTTGACTGAGTTTTATGAAAGTATTTATATCTCCTCATGAAAGCAGAAGTGCTCAATAAAATATGTTTTACTGAATCTAGAGATTCCGCTGGATGCAATGATACAGAGAAATTCATATGTTACAGCTATCTCAGTGTTATAGGGTTATCTTGGAGTTTGATCCCTTCAGCGTGTTTCGTTGATTTCTGAAGATGTCGTGAAATTGATTTGTCATTTGCTCGAAATTCAGTTCTCAATCTCGGCTACAACGTGGTATATATTATGGTCATAAATTTTGCCTGTCGGGTGGGTACCAATTCAACTTATTTGTTGAATTTTTGCACTTGACGTGAAATCGAAAATCTCGAACGTATGTTGATTCCTGGCAAATATTCCAAACCGATTCTATTTTCTTGGATCTGTGTTACAAAATGATATGTGAATTGCCTGAATTCATTCACGTCAAATGGGTAAGAAATTCACATTTCTGAACATATATCAAATGAAAATCCCACTTCAGTCACTTGGCGAACTGTCACTCCGTTCGTACTTGGCGAAGTGTGTGTATAACTTAATATCGATAGCCGTCCCGTTAATAAGAAGATGGAATAGCGTCGTCACACTTCGCCATAAAAACGTGTGGATGGAGTGGGAATTATGTACTTGATTATTCGATTCTCTGTGAAGGTCATGTTTTCATACAGAAGTGTCGGGTAGTGCATGGATAGGACAATCATTTAATTGTTATTATTATTGCCATCATCATCGCAATGGTCAGTTCAAAATTTCTTATATTCCTACTATATAAGTGATGCTGACAACAGAAGTAATAATGTACTGATGATGGTTATAACCAATCGGTGGGCTTTGAGTTTAATTACTTGTATACAACGTGAACGTAATTCGGTAGCGTATTTGGTGATGATAATTGCTTGTGCGGTGTGTATGACGTGTCATAACTTGTATCATTAATTCTATTGTAACATGCAAATAATAACTAATCAATTATAGCTTGGCGCTATGGCTGTGAGGCACCATTGTTGAAACCGTTCGTATGTGGTTTCACAAAAAACAAATTGTGCTTTCAAAATATTTGCTGATTCGGAATATTTAATAGAAACGGTAATTCCATAGATTCATTGACAGTTCAAGAGAACAGACAAGAAGAAACAAGCAGCAAGTCAACATGAGTATGCTACAACAAATTCTCGATCAAGTTAGCTCGTCCTTTTTCATTTTGTGTTCATGATAATTATTATGGTAATATTTCAATGAACGTGTTTATGAAACGAAGCCAGGCTACCCACCAAGCTCAAAGCTGACACTTACTCCTGTCTTCGGTTGGGGCGTAGTACGGGTCAGCCTAAGGCTTATCCTGAGACTGAGGCTCATCGCGGGTTTACAGTGAAGCCGTATGTACTGTGATAGGTTAACGCAGAGTTCAGGATGAGTGTTGTAACCTTGCGGCTTGTCATGAATACATTAACTACAGCACTACTATACGGTTTCATCTGATTTGTGTTCGGTATTATTGATTGCATTATTGGTAGCAGTAACAGTGAATAAATTTTGAGATGTTCGTGGACCCGGAGATCTTGGATGCATTGGATGAGGAGCAAAAGCAAATCTTATTTATTAAAATGCGTGAAGAACAAGTGAAGAGGTGGAAAGCATTCGAAGAGAAATGTGAAAAAGAACAGCCAGCTCAGGGGAAAAAAAAGAAAGATGAATCACGTAGAATTAAGTATGTTATTATTATTATTATTATTTTAATGTTATTGTTGAAGTTATCTCGTAATAATTGTATTGTCATCAACACAGATGGTTGCACGGGGGCGATGGTGAGGTCTGGGTGTGGGTCATGGGTGAGCATAAAGATGACTTGAGTCTAGAAGAATTGATCGAGAAGAGAGATATGGAAGAAGCAAGGAAAATTGCTGAAAAAGAAATGTTGGTTATTATAAATTAATTATTCGTTCATTAATTCCTGTTCATTTTCAATCGATATAAGCAATTAAGAATGATATACATTCAGATTAACAGAGTTAGAAGATAACTCTACGGCATGTCTGTATCCAGTTGAGGATGAAACAACATTAAAACAGCAATTAAGTCGGATGGGTATGGGCGATATGCATGAAAACATGAATATGAATAATGTGTTGTCACCTTCTTTAACAAACGATAATAATTCGAAGCAGGTAAATATTCCGAAACTGTTTTTTTCCTCTGAATTAATAATCGTTTTCATTTTTCCCGAAATTTGATGAACAAATTAAAGTTATAGTAGAAGTAATGAATTAATATACGTTCGAACAGAAAGTATTCCACTCAAGTGATAATTTTCTGAATATCAGTAATAATGATAACGATAACACCAAATCTCTAACTTAGCTCGTAACTGATAAGATTATATTGTCATCATCATCACCATCCTCATCGCTTTTATCGTCATCGACAGTTTCTCAGAACCATAATAATAATAATAATAATAATACGACATCAACCAAAAATGTTTATTCAACTAAAAACAATAATAAATCACAACAAAATGCACCTTCTTCTGCAAATGCAGCACCAGTGCGACCACCACGTCTAAAACATGCTCTAAGAAAAGAGGCAAGATTCTAGCATTTATCGATTGCACTGACTGACTGCTAATGGATCATGTCAAGCCAACCAAAGCTTCCCTCTAACTTGATTTTTTAGTGATTTTAACGGTTCAACAGTTGCTGTAATCATTGCTTAATACTAATCAGTAGCTGTCTATGCTAGTTATAATACTAATAATATTAACAATAACAATAATAGTAGTTGATTTTAATGCGTTTTTATTCCAATTGGTGAAGTGATGCCTCTCTAACATACCATTTATGCTTTTCTTAGAGCGTGTCTATATGCAGGATTCAATTGAAAGCGAGATTGTTGATGCTGTGGTTGCGTATGAAATGATTTGATTTGAGTTGGTGGAAAAATTTGTGAAGCATAAGGAGAAGAAAGAGAATAAGGAGGTTATCCGTAACCACTTGCTGTTTGCAGAAAGCTGCTGCTGCTGCCGCTGCTGCTGCTGTTGCAGTTGGTACAGGTGCGGTGCCTGTAATGGATGAAAATGCTCAAAATTTTAATGTTAATCGTCAAGGTAACAATAGTCTATCAAAGTTACAACGTACATCATTCGCCTCAACTCCAAACGCATCACTATTTAATCAACAACATTCATCATCTAGAGAAAATTATCAAAATGAAACGGTATTATTGGGCAATGATAACAGTAGTATGAATCTGAATAACAATGCAAATAATAATTTAACAACAACAACTGATGCTACTACTATATCAGATTTTATCGACACACTGAAATCAACTCATCCACAACAAGCGCAGATAGCGCCGACGCCGGTTCCGAAAGCCGTTTCCGTTCCTTTACCGCTCACTACAGCCTCCTTATATGTTGGCAGTTCTTTTTTTATTTTTTATTGTTACCATGATTTCATTTGATCAAACAAATTGCAAGTTTGAGTTTATAGTAATAATGAAATCGTTAATTATGTTAATCTTAATGACTGTAATAGCTTCGTCCTTGATTGGTAAAAGTATTGTGAACGAAACGATTATTAGTAATAGGTAGGTAGTGTGGATGTATTTTATCAAGCAGGTATGAAGTCTAAGCCGTTAGTTCATGTGATTGAACAAATAATCAGAATGAATAAAAATTAAAGACAGCGGCTACAACATATTCATATTCAACAAATAATGTTAAACCCACATTATCCTGGTCTTTAACGCCGTCTTCATCAGTGGCCACTACTGCCACCTTATTGCCGTGCTCATCGAGTAATCCTAATGCTAATGTTAATCAAAAACCCTCGCCAAAGTCATATACACTAACGCAACAACAATATCTTTCGAGTACGTTACCAGCAAAAATTGATTTCACCTCTACAACAAGGAATGATACTAATCAAAATATTCTATCGGCATCACTTGAAGGAGCAAATGTTAGAATGCGTTCAACTGCGGGCACACGACCTTCATTAACAGGTTAATAGTAATCATTAAATTTTTCATCTATTCTGTGTAGAGGTGCACTTGGTAAATGGTAATTGAGTTGTGCTTTAAAAAAATAGTAATAGTAAAATGAGTATGACTATGGTAGAGGTCATTTCATTACTGAATAATTGTATTTGAAGCTTAAAAGATTTTGTTTGTGTGATTGTCTTTCACTTCACTTTACGTCTGGTTCATTTGTAATGAATGAACAATAATAGCATTGAGCAATTCACAGATGATGATATTTCAAAACGACAGTCGGAAATATTCGAGAGAATGAAAGAGAAGCATAAAAAGAATAACAAAGAAGCGGAAATAGAAGCAGAACGTGGCAAGATTGCGTGGGAAGAACAAGGTCATTTTTATCATACTTACTTATGTGTGCATACAGCATCTAATGGATTTGCGCTTGATGTTTTAATTATAATGTGAAATTAATGATGAGTCTTGTAGAACGAAAAGCTCGTGAAGCAGAGGCACAAATTCGGCAGATAGCACAGAAGGCGCGCGAACAGCATCGTCAGCAGAGTTTACGCACGTCAACATCAATTCTGCCGGCGTTGAACGATACGAAAGCATCTTCGCTGCGTGAGGCGATGTTTGTCCATTTATTTATTTGTGATTATGAGTGTTGTTATTTTCAATGGTGTTCGTGGTATCATCATTACTCTTTCGTATTGCTGTAGTCTTTATTTTTTGGCGTTGTGAACACAGATAGATAATTTTCTGAATGAATTGATTTTCAAAAATATTTTCCAGCAAAAATTTGCCAAGACCACCAAAACCGAAATCACGTCAAGCGATTGTGGATTGGTTTCGAGTTGTTGAGTTGAAGCGAGGAACGGGTCTTGATCCGAAAACTCGACTGCCCGCTCGTTGGTTCCATGGTCAGTTATACCTTTGATTATCTTAATTTTTATTCGTCTAGATTTTACTCATGAACATTATTCTAATGCTGTATATTGACAGAATTGAAACAACAATGCCAATGATATATTTATAATTGTGATAACGATGAAATTTGAGGTATAATCTCGCGCGATCAAGCCGAAGCATTGTTGAAAGGTAGACCAACTGGTTCATTTTTGGTGCGTGTCTCAGATCGAATTTGGGGTTATACAGTATCGTATGTAGTTGATGAAGGCACATCGAAACATTTTCTTATTGAACGAATACCGCAAGGTTATCAATTTCTTGGTACAAATCAAGTCGTTCATGAGCAACTTTATGATTTGATCACTTATCATGAGGTTAGTTTCGATCATTATAATTCAATGGTTTTGTTTGGAACTTTTATATTCATAATATGTGTAGTAATCGAACAAAATTTGGTTTTGGTTCGATTATTATACATATTATGAATATAAAAGTTTGACCGAATCGACTTTTTAAGATTCTGGAATTCGATATTCCGAGAGAACCTCGAAATAGTTTACTAATGTATACTTGTATGAAATGTCGTAGCCAGGGTCTTTTTGCAAGAGGGAGAGGGGATGGCGCACCATTCCCTCTTTTCCATTCTCCCTTTCCATCCCGCTTTCCTTTTTCCACTTTCTTCCAACTTTCAGAGAGGATGGGGGAGGCACGCCGTATTGCTTGTCTGTGCCACCCATGCATAAATGTATTAATAAAATGTTTAGAGACAATAAAAAGCGACTTATGGTCAGTTTGATTTGATCTTTGTTGTATTATTCAGTGAGTGTTTCAGACAGCGCCAATAACGGCGCGAGGCAATGAGATATTGAAGTGGCCAATCGGTCAGTATTGTTCACCTCCAGATTATGCAGATTTAATGATGCAAGTGTCGTCATCAGCTGATGGCAGGATGACGGCTCCATCATCTCAACAGCACCATTACCAGCAGCAGCAACAGCACTTCTCGGTAAATCCAATGAAGAACACGAATGCAAGTGGCAATAATGTGGCGAATAAGATGTATGGTTGGGTAGGTAATTGATGAATGGAATAATGGATGGATGATACTGATAGTTCGGCGTTGTGTCACTGTGGTGGTTCAACAGCAATATGAGACGATTGAATGTTTGTTACACGTGTATTGTTCAGTTAATTACAAATCATCATTCAGCGATTAGTTCGGTCACTGATCTCAATTAATTGGTCAATTGATTGATAAATGTTATCGCCCTTCTTGTTGTTGTAGTTGTCGATAATCGAATGTTTATCAGCAACAGAGAGAGGAGACTGTTGACATATTTGTTGTTGTTATTCATTGTTGTGCGCTGTTTACTTACTTTTATGATTATGCTGTTGTCTGGGTGATTGTGGTTTCATGAGAGAGAATTTTGCGTTGATGGATTGCAGTGATGTCATAGTAGTGATAACGGTGGTGATAAGAACTGATATGATACTTTTATATGTCTGTTGATGTAGTCATATAGTCAGTGATCGTCCATCCACGATATAGTAAGTTGTTGTTTATTTTTCTTTTGGAAAAATGATTAAGAAATTAACTTGTAAGATGTGCAAATATGTAGTAATTTCACGATTGATTAGTGCGTTTATCAAATATTCTGTTTATATGTTTACATTCATCATTTCTTTGCTTTGCTATTCGTGTTTTCTTTCTTTTTCAATAAGTTTTGCAAAAATTTGTCCAATTCTTGAATTGTATTTTGTTTCGTTTTTTGTTTTTTTTTTGCGTGTAATCTTGATCGAATTCTGTGAATCTTAATCATCATTCGTTATTTTTTCCATTACATTATTACAAATTCATTTACTTTTTTTATGCATCCAATTGACTTATTCATTTATTTAAGATTATGGATTTGTTTATGCATTTTAGGTATGTAACATTGAAATATCTAACACAGTACTACCATTGTACGGTTTCATTGTAATGTAATGCTGTGTATTGGAAATTTTCTTGAAAAATGGGTTTCTTCGTGAAAGCTTTATCTTTTGGATTAACAACTTTCTTGCGTTTACTTTTCGTTTTATTACGTCCGTTCGCTCATTCATCTATTTGTTGGTTTTGATTAAATAATCATATTGCATTCTTTTATTGTGCATATAGATATTTATTTAATGTTATCGTGAAATATTAACCCATCAATACGCAGTGCATTAAGGTCAATGAGAAAGCATCCGGCGGAAAGATCCAATTAGGGATGAGAACGTTTCTTAGGCGTTATGGTAGCACCTTATGTGTGTTCTCAGTTCACGAATAGTTGAAAGAAATGGTTCATATCTTTTTATGATTGCACATTGATGGACTGATAAGTGAATGCCTTTTTATGCAGCTTATTTGTGTACGACTTAATCGATCAAATATTAGTTTATTGATTCACTCAGTAATATTCAATATTTGTATGTTCTTTTTTTACATTGCATTATCTTTTAGGGTTCAGTTATTGAATTTGCATTGTCTCGTAAATGAATTAATTCATTTCTATTCGAACGATTTTAAATTATCCAATTTGATTTGATTTGCTCATTCCACATAAATATGCCAAGTCAGCCAGTGCGCGTTTGATATCCAAATGATTGCTTAACTTTCCGAGTAGCTAACATTATTAAATTTAGCAATTAATTGTATGAATGTACTGTTATTATTAATATCGTTGTTGTTTTTGTTCAGTGATTTCTTATTCATTTATTCATCATTAGATGGTAAGTACTCAAAATTGATTGAGTTAACTAGATTTTAGATAAGATTTGATATTAATAATTGATTGATATGCTAAATTATTAGTGTTGATTAAAGTCAGAATTGGTGCTGATCATGAGTGAATTTTCTAATTATTTATCATTGTTGTGATTATTATCGATATTATTAGATAGATAAACGCTAACTTTTAATTGTTGTGCTGCTGTTATTGCTTGCTGTTGATACTATTGTTGTTTGAATATGTTGAGGAATTAATGAATATTTCATGTGAATATCAATGATGATTATGTAAATCGGTTATTCCAACGCGAAAAAAAGATTCTATTCAAATATTTTTGTTCTTTTCATTGAAAATTGTCAAAATCGGTTGATTTTTTATACCGACGAAATCCTTTCTTTTGAAAACGAATTAATTCTTTTATAAGCAGGCACTATTATTGCGTAACTGAGTTTCTTCGCTAAGGTCTAAGTAAACTCTCTTATCGTTAGTATTTTTTCATATGATTTGTCGTTAATAATACAACAAAATGCATCAACATTTTGAAAGAATGCTCCTCTTTATAGGTATATATCCAGTTCATTCAGCTCACTAGAATGCACCATTTTCCATACTACTTCAAAGGTCGCGTCGTAACAGGCTTCGGGCGTGGTGGAAAACAATTGGGATGCCCTACGGGTTAGTTGCGTGGCGTTGTCGCTTAGGTGTCATGCCCATCGAGTTTTGTATTTTCATACTGTTGTTTATTTTTGTTCTGTTTTCATGAGTGTAAGGATTGTCTTTTATGATCGGTAATTGATTGCACTATTTGTGGTATATTTCAGCAAATCTAGACGATACAGCTGTCTCACAATTGCCGTCTGATTTCCCATGCGGTGTGTTCTATGGCTTGGCACAGGTGGATGAAGGCAAATTATACGGTATGGTTATGAGCGTCGGCAATAATCCACATTTCAAAAATGAACGAAAAACAATTGTTAGTATTCGGCCGGCATTGTCTTCATTCCTTAAAGTTTTGATCAGTGTTATTATTGTTGTTGTTGTGAATATTATTATCACTGCGCTTGAGACACATTCAAAATCAATTATTCCGTCAGAGGAATGGAAGAATAAATCTATATTAGTATAGTGCTTCTTGTTTATTGTATTTTTGATTCGAATTATAAGTTGAAAATTTAAAAAAATTTAAGGAAGTTCATATATTACATCACTTCGATGAGGATTTTTATGGAGCGGATCTACGTGCGGTTGCGATCGGTTATTTACGATCAATGACTGCGTTTAATTCTCTTGGTTTGTTCTTTTTGGCAATGATTTTCATCATATTTTTCAAGTAATTCTTAAACTACAATGAGGCACTCTATCAAGTGCGTATTGAACCGTTTGATTTTGAAATCGTTTGCTCGGCCGGCTTTCAAGCGAATGATGGACTCAGCTGATTCAGTTCGAGCAAATACGCAGTATTTGTTGTTCATGTAGTATTATGTCTTTTGAATCGTTTTCAGATGAACTAAAAGTGGCAATCAAAAATGATATAGCCATAGCTGAAATGAACTTACAACAATGCAACATGGAACATTATGAGCAGATGGATCATTTCCGTAGAGGAAACACCGTTCGAATTCTTTAGTTCGTATTCAACTGATATTGATGGATTCGTTCCATATTATCACTGTGTCAGTAGCGTTCTCGGAACTGTGATCATTATTATTGCTATTTGCATTATTGTACTCATCGTTGCATAATACCTATAAGTATGCTTTTTTATTTGAACGGTTATAGAACTTATGACTGGGCAGCAAAAAAAGAAGTGTTTGGTGTTATCATTATTACAGTATCGCATTTCAGCCAAAATTTTTAGTGCATATTATTATCATTATTGTTTTTATTACCATTACTATCAGTATTGAAGTGTGTAATTATATATATATATTCATTATTATTTCCAGTTTTGTTCTCTTGTTTGTTTCATATTGCGATTGTAATCACTTATTCATTCCTGTAATTAATAGAAAGTAGGATTCAGCTGAGGAATATCTTCACAACTGTACACTGAGCATTATCACAGCTAGCTATCTATCATTCAGTTATGATAATTCTTTCTTTTTTGATAATGCTTCGTGTGATACTGTTGGATTGAATTTACGGTCAAGTTCTATTGATACTTGTTTAGCGTGAAATGTGTGGATTATCGTCAGTTTATAGTTGAGAAATACAGCCATGTATTCATGAGAACATTGATGGAATAGATAAATATATCCATTGAAAAGATTCATTTATTCGAAGATATTCATATGATTTTTCATCAGAGCAAAATGTTTCATTGTTTTGCCCTCATTCATTGATTATTTCGGTTGCTATTACTACTGACTGAATGTAAACTGAATGACAATAAATCGTCTATTATTGTTGTTGTGGTGATAACGTATGAATTTTTTTTGATGGTTTGATCGTGAATATGATTTGAAGCCATTACTAAGCACTCAGTGTAGTGTGACTGTTACCTGTACAGTAATTACTTATAGTTTCTTAGAACCTCATTAACCGCACACAGTTTTTTGGTTTTGGTTCAACATAACCACACAGTATTTATTGTCTTGGAACTTGAGAAACTTCTTATGAATCGCTATGCAGTCATTCAGAGTGATTTCAAAAAATGCAGTGAGACAGATGAGAATTTGAAATGTTTCATGTCAAAAATTATCGTTGATAAGTGTATATATGCCCGGCTCTTTGGAATTTTTCGAAGCTTCGTCTTTACATGGAGAAGAGTTCGGACACTCCATTACTTTTCTATTTTTGCAAAATCAGATCGTTGATAACTTGATCAGTTAGTCTTTTTTCTTTACAAAGAGCTGAATCCTTGCCATAAGATTGTTCTCCTCACGCAGATGGGAAGAGGTTCAAGTCATCTCAACTGCCAGCACGTTGTCATAATGTGCACTCGGCGGAGTGCTTGTTT